AAAATAATACAGTCAACCAAAAAAAGGTTACGCTGGTCAATTTAAATAGTCCGTGGTATAACTGGTCTACTTTGTATGCCAAACACATTTTTGCTCATGTGAAGAGGATATTTCTGTCGATGTACGAGCGCGCGTAAAGTACAAAGCCTCTTCATTATAGCCTAAATAATAGTTTCATTGAAATACATTGCGAATATGGAAACATTATGATTTGTGCTGAATGAGAGATACGTGAGCCCAATTAACGCCTGGTACTTTCAGTTTCGCTTTGTTTTGATTTCTTTAGGTTTATATATTTTTTATTTCATTCTTGTTCTGTTCTTAATACCGTTACATTTATATGATTTGTTTTGGAGTGAGCTATACTAACCTATAGCTATGTTTATAGTGTTTATAATGTTTATACATTATATTTGGTATTATTTCTGGTATTTCTGGTATTATTACACTCTCTCCAAATGGTCTGCTGCTCACAAAACAATAAGCAGTAAGCACCAATCAATGAGAGATAGTTTGAACTTAAGAAAGCTGACTGATCAAAAAATAATATGTTGAGGAACAATACATAACTCATAACCTCCAAATAGCCACATAAACCTGCGCTCGCTCTCATATGCACGCACGCACTGTCACGATCTAATGCCGGAACAGGATCCGGCTCAAATTAAGCACTTAGGCTACTTTAGAATTTAAATGATTAGTTTATAGTAATTTACGCAATTACTAAAAGCTGGTTTGTGGTAGTAAACTGGCAAAAAGACAAAAATGACTCTAGTCAAAAACTCTGGAATCTTTGTAGGCTACTGCATGGGAAAGTATCCAGTCATGCAGCAGGCCGGTCCTAAAATAGAATAGAAATGTACCGCACTCCATTGGTTTTCCCCACGGGAATTACAATACTGACAAACAGCAAACATTTAATACGTTTTTTTATTTAGATATGCATATAAATGATAAGTTGTTAGCCAAAATTTCAAAGAAATTTACTTTTACAAACAGGTGGCTATCAAAAATGATCACAGCTCACTTTAGGAAACAGCAGAAGATTCCATCAATACCATGTGGAAACTTTGCTAACAATACTTTCTGCGGTTTAGTCAAAGCCTTAAAAACAAAACTGGTCACCGCTGACTTGTAGAGCCTCTCAGAGAGGAGAAAAACAAGGCAGAAGATAACGGACAGTTGACGAAGCGCGAGACCACGAGCTCTCACCTGTCAACAGGTGGACTGACTGACGCGCCACTACAGCCTTATTTGTTAACAACCTAATTAGGCACTGCGGTATGCTGATATAAAATCCCCGGTATGGGTCAATGCAACGGAACCTAGTTTAAATGACTTAAAACTAAACACAGATGTGCAGTTGTTGAAGACATTTAAATTATGGTGCAAAATAAGCACATATAAAAACATACAAAAACACAAATCCTGCTCGGCTCTGTAAATTATATAGCTATATAGTCAAAACTGTTGATGGGTAACAGAAAGAGCAAAATAAATTGCGTTTAAAAAGAAGTAAACAAAGCAAAACTCAATCTTAAAAAGAAGCATTTATATACAATACAACATCGTGTAAATGATCCCTCAAAAAAGGACACTCAATTTTGTGCAAAGACGGTCTCTGAACTTCATTTATGTCGTTGTGACCACTAGGAGTCACTCTTGGGCTTTTCTAATGCCACTAGAGAGTACTGTGAGGCTCTTGAGTAATTTGGCAAATTCAATTCAACAACCTAGAATATTTTTTACAGACAATTCAGTGCTGTAAGTACACACTAATTGTCTTTTGGCTTGGGGGAGGCATGCCAGCTCTGGAATGAAGCATGTTTGAAACCTGCTGTCAGGTTAGGCTTTGTTATTTTCTCAGGGCAGGGTGTCAAAAACAAGGTACAAAACACACTAATTCTAATACTCTAATGGCATTAGAGAAGTTAAAACACTGTCATCACAAGCCTATTACCATGTTGGTAGAATTAGTCACTGGATGTAGGGATAATCTTAAACAGTCTTATCGCTCGAGGAGTCCGAAGCAGATAACAGCAACCTTGCGTTCTTTTCATTCTGTAAGTGTGCCTTTTCTGTGGACATTTTATCTTGGTGAACAAAAGCGTGCCTTCCTTTGGCTCTGGCTGAGCACCTCAGCAATGCTTTGACAATCAGGTATGCCAGTTCAGCCACATTGAGCACAATGCAGATGGCAGAAGATCCCACCATGAAGATGGTGAAGATTGTCTTCTCAGTTGGTCGTGAGATAAAGCAGTCAACTTTATTGGGACAGGGCCACTGCTCACACTTCACAAGACGGGCCATCTGAAACCCATCGTAGACATAATACACAGCGTACATGAATCCGGCCTCGAAAAGGAGCCGGAAGAACAGGCTGGAGGTGTAGGTCCACCACAGCGTCCCGGTGATGGGTAGACGCCTCTTCTTCAGACTCTCCAGGTCATCCCCTTTGGCAACACCACCTCGGTTGGCCAAAAGTCCTTTCTTTACTTTGCGTTTGCGATGCGCCACATGCATAGCCACCAGCAAAGCCGGTGTAGACACAAAGATGAGCTGCAGGCACCAGAAACGGATGTGTGAGACTGGAAAGAAGTGGTCGTAGCAGACGTTTTTGCAGCCTGGCTGTTGTGTGTTACAGGTGAAGTCGGACTGCTCATCCCCCCAGACCGTTTCGGCGGCTATTACAAGGATGCTAATGCGGAAGATGAAGAGGACCGACAGCCAGATCTTTCCCAGGCTGGTGGAGTGTTTATTTACCCCTCCCAGCTGGGCATAAAGTGCTCCCCAACTCATCCTATCTGCTGTTGCTGTCAGCTCCTAATCATCGAAAAGAAAGAAATGAATTTGAGCAACTACATATAATATAAATTTGAACTAAAAAATTGTCAATAAAATAATATTCATTATATTATTTTATTGACAATTTTTTTATTCAAATTTAAACAATATGTAAAGTTCACACACTATACATTTAAATGTAAATTTGAACTCAAAAATTGTCAATACATTTTTTGACAACAGTTCAAATTTAAATTTCAGATGACAAAAAAATAAAAATAGAATAGAATGTTTTTGAAAGACGTCTCTTATGCTCACCAAGGTTGATCAAAAATACAGTAAAATAGATACAGCATATTACAATGATTTCTAAAGGATGACGTGACACTGAAAACTAATGACTGCTGAAAATTCTGCTTTGCTATGACAAAAAGAAATTACATTTAAAAAATATATTACAACAGAAAACAGATTTTAAATTGTAATATTATTTCACAATATTGTTTTAATGTACAAAATGTACTGTATTTTTGGTCAAATTAATGCAGTCTTGGTAAGCATAAGAGACTTATTTCAAAAGTATATATTATTCCAAACTTTTCCAGTAGGGTAAGCTTACATTTTCATTCCTCAATCCTAATAACACAAACTATAATTATATGTCTTCAAAAAGACTCAACATATTAAATTGAGAATACCTTCATTAACATATATTAACGACATTAATACATTCCTATTAATTAAGATATCCTTCATTCCCACACATTTTGGTAACTTTGATCATATTTGGTCGAAATTAACACGGAAAAATGATCATAACATTGTCACTTAAAAAATAATGAAATGTCTGGCGGTTTTACAAAACGAAGTTTACCTGTTAGCCTACAAAATGATTCAGATCAAATCCATGATATATATCCGCCCAGGTGAGTTAAAATCAGTACTTTAACTTGCGGAGTTTCTTTGTGGTCTCGAGAGTGAGATGAAGTGCTTTGACTGAGGACAGTGAGCGTAAGTTTAGTGCACCTGACATCGGGCGGAGTCACAGCGTTCATTGGTGGTTCTTGAGCTCGCAGGCGACACAACTGGAATGTTCCTGGAATGCGCCGCCGCCTCAGCAGCGATCTCGTTCAGTCGCGTCGCTAGCGTGTAGGTGTGGTATTATGTTCAAACGTACAACATAACTTGCACACAATATAGTTTTATATTTCAGGCCATGAGTAAATAACCTACAGTCACATAGAAAGTGCTTTTTAGTCTTACGTATCTATTATTTATATTAGATTAATACGGCAACTTAAATGTGAGTAGGTCAGTAAAGTTTAGGCCCACTAATAATCAGTGCATTTTTTCACAAAATACCAGGCCAAACAGTTTGCACATTTCGAGATTATTAGTGGGCCTAAACTTTACTGACCTACTCACATTTAAATTGCCGTATTAATCTAATATAAATAATAGATACGTTAGACTAAAAGGCACTTTCTATGTGACTGTAGGTTATTTACTCATGACCTGAAATATTTAAAACTACACTGTGTGAAAGTTAAGAGGTGTTGTATGTTTTTCATTTAATTTCATTTTCTTTTTAATGTGATGTACTACACCAGTGTTTACTCTGCTAGGACACCTGTGTGAATTGACGTCATACACTAAAAATCACCACCTTAATACCAGTCAGATATGTCATTGTTAGTTCTGAGAAAAGCATTGTTTATTTGAATCTGACACTTGGTTTGAAATGTTATGACACTCATACGTCTCAAATTAAGTGTACACATAATTATTGGGCTCAGCTTAGGTATAAAGAGATTCATTCATAAATGTCCAATGACGAAGTTACGAAAATGCAATTCATTTTCAATTGCGCATATTTTCCTTTTAATTTGTGAATTTCACATTAAAGTGCTCTTTAGTCAAGTATCTGTCACAAATCTTAGACTTAAAAATACTGGTAAAGCATTATAAAAATTCAGTTCATAATTAAATGAATCCTAAAGATATTTCTGAGGTTAGCTTTAGTTCCAGTATTTGCTTCCATAATCAGTCATATTCTGTTGCCTGTAGTGTTGTTTTTGTTCGTCACGTGATAAAGGTTCGTTGACGACTATATTTAGTCATAATTTTCGCTGCCGAAAGCAACACTAGTTGCCTGGAAGGGAAAAATGTAACACCAAGGACAACAATGGCTCAGATGATCCATAAACACTTTCATTTAGGTAGTATCTCATGGTTAGCCTCATTTCTTCAGTTTAGCTAGTCCCATCAGCAGCTGATCTCTTCTCTCTCTCCTGGCTGTAAGGTGCTCCTGTTCAGCAGGGATCAGCTCACAGATCTCCTAAAGTAGATGGTAAAATATTTCCGTTTATAATGATTACAATAATTATATATTTAATATATATATATGAGTATTTAGGAAATCCGATTTAAGATTTCAAAAGCCACTGTTTCAAGAAATTTTCCAATTATTAATAATATCATTGATATTGCATACCTTTATAATTCTATCTGCTGGCTCTCCGGAAAAGTCTGAAACAGGTCCAAAAGTATTAAGAACCCTCTTTATGCCCTCGCTGTAGCGCTGGAGATAATCTTCCATACCTGGACAGACAAAACACAGAATGGGGATCAAATCAAAATGTGCTTTTGCATTTCTACAATACAGTAGTATTACAGTTGACCATAAAAGGTCTGATCTTTTTCATGACTCTAATAACAACATATTACAGAAATAGTTTTGATTCGTTTTAATTCATTCAAAATACTTTTTTAAAACCAGCTACAAAATTCATATTTGGTATAACAAATGCTGCTTTGTCCTTATGAATAACTGTGACACAAAAAGTATAATCAGTTTGGAACTGTGTCTAAAATGATTCAGCGAATAAACTTATTGGCTTTTTGTTTTGTAACAGAGTTTTCAAGCATGAATTGAGTAGCTCTTAATCTGAAGGGCATGAGTTCTTTTAGAAGGGCTCTCAGCAGATAAGATGTGCACCAGTGAAAGTTCAGCCACAGTTCTTCGCTTACAGTTTCCAAGAACTTGTGCCATTACAGCAATGGAAGAAACCAGGGCGAAACTCTTGTGTTTACAGGGGGGCTTTATCACCACAGTGAGAGCACTGTAGCACCTCACTCGCAGTACAAGGAGGCAGGGCTGAGAATAATAACTCATCTGTCATCATCAAAGGTTAGTACCGGTGTCACATGGCAAAGCACGTTTCATAGGGGGAGCAGGGTCATCCTATAGATTTCACACTGCCTTCTGATTTTCACCATGAACATGAGATCTCTTCAAAACACATGCACATTTACACACTTTCGTGCTTGTTTCAGATTCTTTTACAGTCTCTCTCTTGCACACACACACTTAAGGTCACGTGAGGTGGATGTAATCGAAACAATAAGAGGTTTTCACAGACTGCTTTTTCGCTGCCCCAAGCACCGCACCAATTTTTTTTTACATGCATAATGAAAACAAAACCTTCTCAATGCTTAAATACAAAGTTTCATTATCCCATTTTTTTACAAATTGCATGGGTTAAAAGGTGGCTTGCCTTCTGGTGCGTTGAGATGCATGGTTTCAATGGGACCTATAAAAGCGTAGCGCATGCCCAAGCCCTCAGACATCACCAGATCAATGTCCTTCACTGAGATCACTCCGTCCTGGATGAAAAGAAAGAGAAGTTCATTTGGCAACTCGCACTGTATTATATGCTTGGATGAAAGACAATGTTACTAAAAGTGGTTTACTGATGTTCTGATCTAATCCTAAAATTACAGCTTCCTGCTTAGTAGTTTGTCCAGCCAACAAGGTTTGGTCCACCTTATTGGTCCCCCCCAACCTTTTTGTCCCATCTGAAGAGCACTAAAGCCGCTCCCACTGTATTGGATTTCTCTTATCATTTAACTTAGTGTCCTCTGAAAAATGGGATGGCATGGCAGGGGGAGGCAAGTGTGGTTGTGCCAGGCCTTGGGCCCACTTTGCACTCAGATTACCTGTGGCTACAGATACCTGTTGCCTGACTGTAATGAAATCAAAGCTTGGATACAGAACAGGCAGTGGGGAAGAGTTTAGGAGGGGGACAGGGTGTTCTTTGTTCATTTCCTGCATGCAACAACGAGGCCGTTATCTCAGTGTCGCCAGGCGGCAGACTGGCTGGGGAAACCGTGAAAAGAGGCCTTTCCTCTACGGTAATCACCAGGGGCAGCCATTAGCTTTCCCAGCTGCTCTACTTTCCAGTGCTGGCTCTCTCTCAAAGAGCCGCCTGAACTCTGAGAGGAAGCATGAGTGGATTTGAGCTGCAAATCTGGCATGTGGGGCACCGTCCAAACTTTAAATGTTCCTCATCATAAAAACAACAACCTCTTTTTCCTTTAATAAAACAACTCATTTCAAAAGCACAAACTCAAAAAAGAGGCAAGTCCATGAAGAAAGAAAAAAAGGTAAGAGGCAAGTCCATGAAAACAAGTCTGTAAGTCTAAAATCTACAGAACTCAACTTTAAAAACTGTATGAGAGGCTTACGGAAATCTTAAGGCATCTTAACCCTACCGATTTCAGGCTGCTCTGTGCCTGTTGGAAATTCAGCATATAGACGTAATGCCACATAAAAGCCAGCCTCAATTATGCCTTCTGAGCAGCATTGGAGTCGTAAAGACTCCTAAATGCCACTTCAGAAGTGCTTCTGTGCCAATTCGTTAAAAAACATGTACGAGTTTCTTTCTTCTGCTGAACACAAATTAAGATATTTTGAAGAATGTAGGTAACCAAACAGTTGATGTCCCCACTGTGGAAGTCAATGAGGAGCAGCAAATGTTTGATGATGGAATTTTCATTTTTGGTTGAACTATCCCTTTAGTGGTGTTATGAACATCAGATCCAATTTGAATTTTCAGCTGCTAAACAATATTCAGATGTCTGTTGGCACTGTTTTAAACTTTTCAATGTAACGGTTAGGTACAGTGGGTGCGGAAAGTATTCAGACCCCCTTAAATTTTTCACTCTTTGTTATATTGCAGCCATTTGCTAAAATCATTTAAGTTAATTTTTTTCCCTCATTAATGTACACACAGCACCCCATATTGACAGAAAAACACAGAATTGTTGACATTTTTGCAGATTTATTAAAAAAGAAAAACTGAAATATCACATGGTCCTAAATATTCAGACCCTTTGCTCAGTATTTAGTAGAAGCACCCTTTTGATCGAATACAGCCATGAGTCTTTTTGGGAAAGAGGCAACAAGTTTTTCACACCTGGATTTGGGAATCCTGGGGGTCTGAATACTTTCCGTACCCACTGTATCTGGACCCATGATAACAACATGAACAGCTCACACATCTCATTATTCAAAAGAGTGAAACATAAATAAACTCAAATAATATAGTGTGAAGACTTTCAAATTGAACAAAAGAGATGCAACAGCACCAATTAACCCGCCCTTGAACAATATGTAACTTATGTAAAACCAGCTTATGTAATTACTTCTTTTAATAATTGAAACAAAAAACAGTATGCAATAACCAGTTTGTGCTGGTTTAACTGGTTCATCAACATGGCTTCCTTTAAAGCTCCATCTGACATAACCTTTTTACAGCTCAGAAAGCAGAGTCTTTTGAAACGCTTGAATAGTATTTGTCTACAACAAAAAAAAGAGGAGAGGTATTTCTGTCATTTAGAAGCTGACCCAAAACATTATATGGAGTTGTGCCTCAAATGGTGCATGTTTAATTTATAAATGTAACTTTTCCTTCTGACCAAGAAGAAATGACAAGACTTGGAAAATTACAGTGTACCTCATAAGAAATGCTTGTTAAGAAATGTAATTCCTCACACACGCACTGTCATATGGACACTGCATAGAAAACGTGAAAACTAGTGAGACAGAACACATGATACGCTTTAAATCATACTGTCGTTCCAGACAAATCTAAATTACCTCATCATCAGTGATTGCACAATAACACCACTGATGAGGAAATGAAGGATAAAGAAACAATAACGGTTATAAGGAAGAACACTTACTGTATTTACTGTTACAGCTATATATATATATATATATAAATCCCACTCCTCCTAAATGATGCATAATGAATAAGATCAATACAAATAACATTTACAGCTAATGTGATATTTTGTCTTCACCCTCATAAGATTTCCTTTAGTTCAGCCTCAGTTCAGTGGTTATCAATCTCTGAAACGAGCAGAAACGTCAAGTCAGTCAAAATGTAAGAATAGCATATCATTTTCAGTGTTGCCATATAAGTTGTGAAATTGTCTCTAAACACACAAGCAGAATGGACCGCATACTTTATTGGACATACTGTGTAATATATGTACATCTGGAACCAGCTTTTAAAAAAAAAGCAAATTGACAAGTGGTTCAACATTTAACCTCTCAAATGTCAGCAACTGCGATTAAGTCACAGAATGCTCTTAGGTAACAACAACACAAGGGCTTTTACTTTTGTAAGGAACCTCTGTTTTAGCTTTACTTTATTGAGAACATTCTTCTAGGGTTTTCCTCTCAAAACTTAAATCCAAATCTTGTCCTTTAGTGGTTGTATCTAAATTGATATTTCAAAAACTCAAAAGCAAAAATTCTGTCATCATTTGCCCAATAGTTTTTCTGCTGCTCACTGTTATTATACGAAAAAAGTGTTGTCTGAACATTGTGCTAAATATCTTCTATTGTGTTCCACAGAAGAAAGAAATCATGCAGGTTTGAAGCAACATAAGGGTGAGTAAATGATGATATTGAGTGATGGTGATAATGATGAATCCTTAAAATTATTCATATCAAGAGATATTTGTTTTATACATAAAACTTTTTGGTTAATCTGCGTTATGTAGGATAAGGGTATTTTCCAAAGATTAGACGGTATTCATGAACACTACATGGAAAAAAACTAAACAACTCAACAAAATGGGTAGCAATGATGTTATGTACAATTGGCTACAACTACAGTTAGGAAAAAGCTTCTTGAGAGAGTTGATTATGCATTTTCAAACACAATTTCACCACACCTCTGTCACAGTACATTGTCCATATAATCCTGATACCTGTGTATAGAACATCATTTAGTGTCACCATGAATCATCTTTACAGTTTTGTGATGATGCCTCCATAATACACCCTGCCTGGACAGAACATGCAATTTTGTGTTTTGTCTTTAATTGTCCATTACTCGACTGAATAATGAACAGCCGCTCTAAAAATAAGTTCAAAGTGAAGAGTCCATTGTTTGTGAAAGTGCTTTCTTGACTCTGCTTTTTGTTCATGCTTGTAGGCAGTGCTGAAAAGGGTTTGGTTTTTAAAGTGGATCACCTAACTCAACCCCATGTTCATTTGATACACTGTAATACAGGTGTACTGTACTGTATAACCAGGACAAAACCACCAGTGTGAGGAAAGATAAGCTGGCCATTCTAAAAGTTTCTCAAGAGAAACAAAGAAATGTGATGGGTTTTTTCCCCTTCTCTAAATCAATAATTTATAAACAATGACATAAGACTGTGGATGTTGCAACAAAATACAATAGTCTCTTCATTCATTCCTTCCACTAATTTCACTTCCCTTTCTTCCTAAAAACAGGGTGTTACAGAGACATGCATCAAAATGTACAAAAGTTATAGTATTTCCTGTTCATAGATATGCAAGTAATAAGATTTGTCTACAATATATTTTCTCCACGCATGAACAAATAAAGGGTCTGTTATCAGAGCTATAATATAAACTAAAAACATTCATCCTGTAATGTGGACAACATATTAAAGCAATAAACCATGAGAAGCTGTGCGTTACATAGATTTTACCTTGGGTAATGGTGGTCTTTACCATGTGATTTGTGGTAAGTTCACTGTAATGCAGGCCTTAAAGAGAAAGTTCACCCAAAAATGAAAATTCTGTCATTTACTAAACAAACAGGTGCTGGTCCCCACTGACTTCCATAGTATGGAAAAAAATACTATGGAAGTCAAAAGGGACCACAAACTGTTTGCTTTCCCACATTCTTTAAAATATCTTCTCATATGTTCTGCAGAAGAAAGAAACTTGAGGGTGAGGGGCATTTTCATTTTTGGTTGAACTATCCCTTTTAAGTGGTGCATTGCTTTTATAAAATTGCAGCAACAATTTGAAAAAATAAATAAAATAATAACAAAAAAATAAACAAACAACTAAATATGCTAAATAAAACAATTTTCATTGAATTTTTCATAATTGACAGGTGATAACTGACACAACTATTTTACTTTACACTACCATACAAAATTTGGAGGTTGTAAATGTATTTTATTTATTTATTTTATTATTTATCTTTTTTTTTTAAAGACTTTTTTTTTTGTGGAAACTGTAATACTTTTTTTAAGGATTCTTTTATGAATAGACAGTTCAACAGAACCTGGAATGTCCATAAGCACAACACCTCCTTACATGTCCTTTCCATTTCACTCCCCTCTGTGCCAATGTCAACAAATGTTTACTTGGTGCGTTAAGAATTTCACCAGAGAAAGGGTAGGTAGTCAAAATATTCTTCAGTATAATCATGACTCTAACTGATATGTGGTTTTGTTCCATGGCTCAACTAACCTGAACCAGCCTCCAGGACTCGGCTATGATGGCATACTGAACACGGTTCAATGCGAAACCATCGATCTCCTTCCTGAGTCGCACAGGTGCCTGCCCGACATCCGTCATCAGTGAGTAAGCAACATCCATTACAGCAGGCAGTGTTTCGGGGTGTGGCACCAGCTCCACCAGCCGCACATAGTAGGGTGGGTTTACCTGTGAGGTTCAAAACAAGAAGGAAATTACACCAGTTTGTTTGCCCCTGGACACAGATAAAGCACTATACTAATGTGTTTACTGGAGCTAGAGATAATGGCCTTGTATTGAACTTCTTTCCCACTATGAAGGTCTCTCTGTCTAAATGTCTGACCACAAATGCTTGGCATTCATGATTAAACATTCACTTAATGCAGGTGAAGGTGAACTATTTGCCTCACACTGCTTTGAAGGACAACACGACCAGCAAGACCTTGCTCATGAGATCAGAGTGGAATTTCCATTAAGCGTGGAAGGATTCAAAGTCCAGTAAAGCCCCCATGGCCTAAAACACTCCACATCTCCATTCTTCACTACAGGCTGCTAAACCAGGACTGACAAGAAAACCTGACATGTCCATGTAAATAATGCTTTCATTAAATAAACATAAATAGTAGCACTAAAACTAAAACATGAATGCTGTATAAAAAGTTATTTGCGGTAATTGCATTTTGGTATTTGCGGTAATTGCAGAAAACTGAACTGAAGTATGTGTGTATCAAATGAACTGTCAAATATACTGGCAGTGGCAATCCTTTTTTATTTTAAATCATTTTCATTATTTAATTCTTTTTGCATCATAATTTCTTTCAAAAACAATTTCAAAGGCCTAAAAATTTGATTTGTGCATCTCCACAGTGTATGTATAATATAATCTCTCACAGACTGTAAACATAACTAACCGGATGAGAAATGATGCACCGAGTTCGGTTCTGGACACGAGAGAACACGTTGCTTGGCATCAGGCAGGAAGTGGAGCTGCTGAGAATCACGCTTTCTGTGACAAGATTCTCCACCTCATGGAAGACACTCTGCTTTGCTTCCAGGTCCTCAAACACACACTCCTATTCACAGAAAACACACAGAGGACAAGAGCAGATAATGGTCAACAATATAGCAAAGGGACTGTATGAAATGTACTATAATTGAAGCTGTAGCAACATCTTTTCCATACGAGCACAAAAAAGGAACAAGAAGAAAACACGAGAGTGGAAAAAATGAATGATAGTGGAATGGGCTGAAAAAATGACATTTGATATATCATAAAATATATGATATTTTCCCCAAGGCTGATAAAACAGACAGGAATATTCACTCACGCTTCTTTAATCATTTAGCAGGAAAACTTTTTAGTAGTCAGAGTTGCTATGAAACTAAAGTAAGGACAGATAATCAATTCCATATTGTGACGACGTACATACGAAATGATTGGAGAAACCCAGAATATGTCACCAGAGAGAAGATCCAGTTATGACATTTTAAATCACAAGGTCATTTTTTTAAAATGGAACATATACATTAATAAATAATTTACAATAAGATCTATAAAAAATAGATGAATTTGTGAATATTCACTATTTTTTTTTATTTTATACTATTAATTTTTCACTACTATCACATGCTGACTTTAAGAATGTGAAGGTTTTAGAAAAAAAGCACACAAACCGCTAAAATAAATTATATAAATTTAATGGTATATTATAATATCGCAAATACAGCATCAGCACAGGACTATATGGCGTCACTGTCTGTAGTACACAGGAAAAGTGCATGATCAGATACATCACCTCATCCATCTTTATGAATGTTTATGGGGGGGAAAATAAGGAATTTCCAATAGCAAACAGAGGTTTGGCTCCAAAGTATTCCAATACATTTTAATAATTAAACACGGGTGCAATTTCAATAGTTAATCACATTAACTCAAGGAATGTTCAAACAGTTGCAGTCGTAAAACCACGGACAGGTCTTCTGGTTTCATGTGCTTTTATTGTGCACATTAAAACAATTAAATGTAAAATAATGAATTTGGTACTTGTCATTAGTGAACACTCTTTCTTGTCTTCACATTAAATACGTGTTGCTTTCATTCCATACATATCAGGGAGATGTTTATCCGGCCCAGTCACATTTTTGGGTCAATAGGAAGTCATCTACGTTTGAGGGGAAACTGTACCTGGACAAAGAAAGCTCCCTCCAGGGCCTGCAGCAGGTCATCATGACTGCTGAGTAGACTCAACTGCTCTGCAGCCGTGAGATTACCTCTCAGCATTTTGGCTTGCTGAAGCTCCTCAATCTGTTTCCTGCTCACACACGAAAACACATTATTCATATCAAATTCAACAAAATGTGAACAAAATCTGACAGCTGTTCTGTCCAAATACAATGTTTTAATGATGGTTTATGACTGACAAGACATCGGTTTCAGATGTAAATTATGTCTTTAAAAAACACTTTTTACTTTAACTGAAGCAACTCTGCATGCATCACAGAAGATTACTGTTTTTTGTGTTCTAATCTGTCATTGCTGCATTCTAGCCAGGGCACCTACACTGTAAAAAATGATTTTTTTTTTTTAATTTGTAAATAAAAGAAAAATGATTGTACTGTAGAGCGTTTTACAGGAAAACACTATTTCAGTTTTTCTAATTCAATGTGTTTCTTTGTAACTGTTTGTGAAATTTACTAGTGAAACTTGTTTCTACACATCTTTTACAGTGTAAATTCATATCTAGGAAAGAGAAAGCCCTGCAACTCCCCCTGGTGACAGAAGAGGTGAATCAAGGAAGAGGGTTATTTACACAACATAAACAGATATGGACAGAGAGTACTAATGTTCTAGAAAACTTCAATTTGAGCATATTTTTTTCTTTGCATATTATGCCCTCTATTTTATTCTATTGATCTCCTCGGATCATTGCTTTATGTAAGGTTGTGCCATAAAAATGTGTCACAAACCTGCTCTGACAAAAGTTGAGCAGCGATGCTAAAGGCAGAGAATCTGACTGAGAGGTCAACAGGTCATTTTTCTTTCCTGTTTAAAACGGACCTGATGTCTGTGATGGCCCCTGAAGCTTGTCCTGGTATGTTGTCATAGATCTTGACCATGTATCCTCCACTCATAAACAGCATGGCCCAGGAGCGGCCGATCAGCCCACTTTATTATGCAACATACATGCAATTAGGAAAAAGAGACAGCACAGTAAATAAATCAAATAAAAATGCAGATCAAGGAGTCTGCTAACATTAGTGAGCATCAGTGCATTATCTACATACCAAAACGAGGAACATGACAGACTACTTAAACAGGAACTTTAATATAGCATGACAAATCAAAAATAATATGACTTTGATGATCATGCATGAAAAAAACCCGGTAAAATAGATTAATAACCTTATTTGTACAAGCCAAAACCTACCAAAAATATGTAAAATAAGCGCACATAAAGAGTCACGTGATCATTTAATTTAAGTCATAAATCACTGCACTGTTCATTTTTTACATGCACTTTTCTGATATGGAGTAATACATGTATTCATAAACACAATCACAGTAGCCTTCAAAGATCACTCAGCTATTCTGTTAGACAATTTCAGGAACACGTCTGCCAAAACTAACAGACTGATTTAAACAAAGTAACTCTCACCTCCCGACAACAGTAATAATCTTTCCTTTTAATGAACTCATCGCAAACCCCTTTACAAATGTCAAAACTCAGTCAGCTACTTCACTGGAGCCCCTGTTCCGGCGAATTCAGTTTCCCTGTTTCCCCCTCACAGCGCCTGCGCAACTTCGCAGTGTTGCCAAGTCCGCGGTTTTCCAGCGGTAGTTTTTAGTAGCAAAAAAAAGCGTTTCTTTTTTATATATCCTGGCAACCCTGAAACTTCAGTACTAAAATCATGACTTCATGATTTCGCCCCGGGCTAAGCAAGTCAGCTTATGGTGGTTTTGCTGTCTTTCTGCAAGCAACATTTCGGGAAACTGAATTCGCCGGAACACCCCAATATCACCAGACTTCAGCTTGTCATGTGCACGAAAGAGAGGCGGAGCCACGGCGTCTCACACGCGCCTAAATACATCAGGACTTTTACAGAAGGATAATTCCTTGGATTGCAGCGCAGAAGGCGTTCATACGTACATTCAGATATGTAATGTAAAAAAAAAAACAGACACAAATATAATTTATTTTTATTAATGCTCAATAACATAAGAACATTGCCAAGGAATTACATATAATAAAACAAAGAGAGAGAAAACAAAGACACAAATATAATTAATGCCAACCAATAGCGAAACAGCATATTTTGATGGGTAGCATGATTTGACAGAACGCTGTCTCTGTATCCTAGCAACCGACGTGTTGATGAGCGTAACGTTAACGAGCTGTAACTTTAGCTGCTGTTGGGCTAACGTTACATACGTGGTTTTCGGGATATTTCAGTTTAATAATGCTATTAATTTGCACTTTTCTTTGGTAAGCAAACTGCTCTGTTAACCAGGTAAGTAAAAGATTCTCTATGGGGTTCAGGTCTGGTGAGTTTGCTGGCCAGTCAAGCACACCAACACCATGGTCATTTAACCAACTTTTGGTGCTTTTGGCAGTGTGGGCAGGTGCCAAATCCTGCTGGAAAATGAAATCAGAAGGGTGTCAATGATTGTCTTCTGGACAACTGTCAGATCAGCAGTCTTCCCCATGATTGTGTAGCCTAGTGAACCAAACTGAGAGACCATTTTGAAGGCTCAGGAAACCTTTGCAGGTGTTTTGAGTTGATTAGCTGATTGGCATGTCACCATATTCTAATTTGTTGAGATAGTGAATTGGTGTGTTTTTGTTAAATGTGAGCCAAAATCATCAAAATTAAAAGAACCAAAGACTTAAACTACTTCAGTCTGTGTGCACTGAATTGATTTAATACACAAGTTTCACAATTTGAGTTGAATTACTGAAATAAATGAACTTTTCCACGACATTCTAATTTATTGAGATGCGCCTGTAGTCATGGCAGAAGACCACCAGTAAGTTGTATTGTATCTGCTGATTAATCTAGAATGTCAGGCACACCAGTAATAATAAACATTAAATTAATTTATTAAATGTTTTTAGATGACTGCAAAATATCCTGGCACTGCAATTGGAGGACGACCGATTGGAACAGCTTATGGGGTAAGTAAAGCATATGGATTTACACTACTACATTTCTGACTGAAAATTCAAAAGCTTGCGTTAGAATGATAGCATGTTAGAATGTGCAATGTCTTATAATCAGGAAGACAGCTGTCAGGGCAGGAAAGGTGAAGGTCTCCAAGAGGTGAGAGATTATACAGTCAGAATCAGGACGGTCAAACATAACAAGCACATTTCTTGTTGACAGTATTGGATTCGTTTCATGTTTTAATGAGGGATTGTGAAGCTATTTGTCAGATGTTGGAGGTAAATTGATGCAATTTGTTTTCCTTTTTTCTCTTTATATATCTGATGTTAATATCTAGTCTCGGATGCCTGTTGGCACTGCTATGGGAGCTATGACTGGAGCTGTTCAGGTGGGACAAATCTCTTGTTTATTTGTCCTTTGTCATATGCAGTGAAATTGTATTAATCTTCTATGTTTTTGTGTGTTGTACAGGATGGTGCGGCTCGTCCCATGACTGCAGTGCGAGCAGCAGGATATTCATCATCTATAGCTAGAGGTGCTTTCACACATGAAACCCACTTACACATGTGCTGTTCAGACACATTTTACTTGAAATATACTTAACTGCTTCATAATGATATTGATTCATACGTTTTAACTCCTGAGTTGGTGAAAAATATGACAATTTCCTTCATTTTAATTGTTTGAATTTCCAGGCTCAGTGTTTGATCCCCTGGGGCAATCAAAAGGACCAGCCCCTCCATTAGAGACAAAGAATGAAGACACGTATGCATCCCTCTGCTTTCATAGTGCTTGAGAAGCCATTGACAACTAGATTTTGTTTACTAGATCCCACTTTACGTCTTTAGTTTTACTTAGAGATGGACAGCTTTTTGGTCTAATTATTTTCTTGTTTAGTCCAGAGGAGAAGATAAAGATCCTCGAAAAGAAGGTGAATGATTTGATAGAGGAGAGCTGTCTTGCTCATGCTCGTGGGGATCTTCAGCTGGTAGGTATAACTTTATAACTGCTATAAGTGATTTTAAAGAATTGTCTTTTGTATGCTAAATTAGCTTTTTTCAACAGTCTTTAGAGAGAGCCAAGGAGGCTGGCAGGAAGGCGAGGGCTTTGGTGAGACAGAACAAACAGGCACTGCAGACCACATCAATCTGGACCTGACCTACTCTGTGAGTGCATTGCTCCATGTAAAATCCATTTCTTGACTGAAAACTGAAAATTCACATGACTCTTTCATGCTTTGTTCGGGTGCTGTTTAATTTAGCAAACCAATATGCCATAATGACGTACACTGAGGCCTTGAACACCTACCAAGTCATTGTGAAGAACAAAATGTTCAATAATGCCGGTGAGCGAATTTCAAATGTGTTTTAAAATATCTCAGATTCACTCCTCTTTGATTCAAGTGTGTTTCTAACATCAGGTTTTGTGTAACTGGTTACCCTACTATAGGACGACTGAAAGTGAACATGGCAAATATCTATTTCAAGCAAAAGAGCTACACGAAGGCCATCAAATTTTACTGCATGGCTTTGGATCAGATCTCAAATGCCCACAATGCAATGAGGTCAGTACTTGTAGTTGCATGTGTTGTGTGAACTGCATAATTGTTTTGCACCATTCAGTTTATGCAGGTCTTGGGTAATTTGATGTGATTTTTCAACACGTAAAGATCTCTTATTGTATAGGATCAAGATAATGCAGAACATTGGAGTTGTGTTCATACATATGGGTCAGTACTCAGATGCCATCACATCCTTTGAGTACATCATGAGCGAGAGCCCCAACATAAAGACGGGCTTCAACCTCATCCTGTGTTACTATGCCATCGGAGACCGGGAGAGGATGAAGAAAGCTTTTCAGAAACTCATTTGTGTGCCCCTCGGTATTGATGATGATGACAAGTATATCCCTCCAAATGTGAGTGCACAATTCCTTGTTAGTCATATATTTGAACTGAATTATGTCTTATTGTTCATGGATTTTTTTTTATTTTAGGATGACTCTCATGCAAACATGGTGATTGAGGCTATAAAGAATGATAAGCTTCACCAAATGGAAAGGGAGAGGTATTATAATGTATTGAACGTTCTGTTGGATCTATAAATCTTAAGCTTTGTGTTTATTATTCTCAGAATTTTTTTCAGTATTTTTGTTTTGCTTTTCTTTCTAGGAAAGCACTTGCAGAAAAATACATTATGACCTCAGCCAAGCTTATTGCTCCAGCCATTGAGTCGTCATTTGCTGCTGGCTTTGACTGGTGAGTTATTTATACTACTTTTCATAAATTTGGGGTCAGAAATGTAAAAAAAAAAAAAAAAAAAAATTTATTCAGCAAGGATGCATTAAATTGTAAAAAATAAAAGACAAAATGCTACAAAATATTTCTGTTAAAATAAATGCTGTTCTTTTGAATTTTTCCATCAGAGAATCGTGCTGATGCTAAATGTTTCTTGAGCAGTAAATTAGCATATTTAAAAATATTTCTGAAGAATTGCTGGGCGACTGAAGACTGGAGTAATGGCTGCTGAATATTCAGCTTTTCCATCATAAGAATAAATGACATTTTTTAAATGTTTAAAATAGAAAACCGTTTTTTTACAATGTAATAATATTTTACAATATTACTGTTTTATTATATTTTTGTTTAAAATGTAGTCTTAGTGAGCAGAAGAGACTTATTTCCAAAACATTAAAAAACAATCTTACTTAGCCTAAACTTTTAAGTGGTAGTGTGTGTATTCCACAAGAGGGAGTTAAAGCGCAAGACTTGTCCATGGCATTCCCTTAACAATATTTATGTATTATTTATTTTGAATAATTAATTATAGTTCATTATTATTAGTTAAGACCATTTCTAATAGAGTAAAGTAAACCATCCATAGAGTTTGTCCTAAAGCTTAATTTGGTACTTTTTCAGGTGTGTGGACATGGTGAAGGGTTCACAATACGTGGAGCTTGCAAATGACTTGGAGATCAATAAAGCTATTATATACTTGAGACAGAGGGACTTCAAACAGGTAGATGGGTCCCTGGAGACACACTCAAATTATGTTGTTTTTGATATATTACCACAGAACAGAGCCATATTGCTCTATATCTGTGTGGAACCCTTGTTTCTGTCCTATAACACTTTCCACATTCAATGGTCCATTTTATTTTGTTTTCTTGCCTGTCCATCTGCATGACTATTGAGGCTGAGGTATGTTTGTGTTGTTGGAGAATGTGTGTGTGTGTGTGGGGCGGGGTCTTTCTGCTGTAGACCTTGTGTATATGTGTGCTGATATTGCATTCTGTTGCATTGTTTTTCTCATTTAATGTAGCAGCAAATGTAATGTGATGTAACTTAAGTATATTTAGGTATTATTCAATGATATGATAGTGAAGCATCTATCTACATTACCAATTTCCTTTAAGTCACTATAAATATGCCTAATCAATTTTGTTTCCAGGCAGTCGAGACGCTAAAGATGTTTGAGAAGAAGGACAGTTGGGTAAAAAGTGCTGCTGCCACTAATCTTTCTTTTCTTTACTTTTTGGTGAGTACATTACTATAAAGCATTGACCTCAAAGAGCTGGTGTTAATAAGGTTCTCACAGACATGCTCTTGTTTTTTTTTGCTTCCATCTGCCTATTTCTGTGTCTTCTCCGGGAAAAGGATTTTGACCAGGCTGACCGCTATGCTGAGCTGGCCATGAGCGCCGACCACTACAACCATGCTGCACTAGTGAACAAAGGCAACACAGAGTTTGTGAAGGAGGACTATGAGAAAGCAGCAGAGTTTTATAAGGAGGCTCTTCGTAATGACTCATCTTGCACTGATGCTCTCTATAACTTAGGTCTGCTATCACAAACTTGACATCCTAAGGGTTACATCACATGAGATTTACATAAATTTG